GTTTAATTTTTGATTTTGTCTCATCGATTGTTATCTGGAGTGCGCTTTGATGGATTTTGACAGAATTAATTGGTGAAGCACAGATATTGTGTAAGCAAAGAGGTTTTAGGCCAGTAGAATAGAGTTAGAACATTCGTACCAACCCTTATCTCAATCCTTATCTCTATATTTTACTCTACATCAAATATATTATTTTTTATTTCAAATAAATTAGTATATATATGTATATTTAATCTTATGTAAAATGTTAATTACTTAAATAATAAAAATATTTTTATTTATTTTTGTTTCAAATGAATTGATATATATATATATGTAGATATTTAATTTTATAAAAAATGTTTATTACTCAAATAATAAAAATATATTTCATGTATTTTTATTTTAAATAAATAATTATATTTATGAATATGTAATATTATATAAATTTTATTACCCAAATAATAATAATAAAAAAATATGTATGACAACACGAGACTGCTTCATAAGTTCAACCAATAGAATATAATTACATAATTCAATAAAAAAATAAAAACCATTAAAAACAACGATTACAATAAACTTGAAATAAACTAAACTTTTTTGAATGCGTTAATTTTCATTCATATGGTATCATTTTAATATTAAAATATTACAAAATAAAATTATAATACATCAATAAATAAAAAATACAAAATTATTTAGCATAAAAAATACATTGCAAAACTTATTTAGTATAAACAATATATTTACTAATACACAACAACAACAACAACAACAATATACCCAGTATATTCCCAACAGGTTGGGGTCGGGGGGGTCAGTTGTACGCAAACCTTACCCTTGTAATTATACAAATTTTCATTCATATGGTATCATTTTAATATTAAAATATTACAAAATAAAATTATAATACATCAATAAATAAAAAACATAAAATTATTTAGCATAAAAAATACATTGCAAAACTTATTTAGTATAAAAAATATATTTACTAATACACAAAACAACAACAACAACAATATACCCAGTATATTCCCAACAGGTTGGGGTTGGGGGGTCAGTTGTACGCAAACCTTACCCTTGTAATTATACAAGGAGGCTGTTTCCGTAACGACCCAAGGTGCATTGCGCCGTTTGATATATTTTTTTTCTAGAAACTTCACTAATAGAAGAAGCACTAGAATTTAATTGAGTCATTTTGATCTAGTCCATTATTAGCACTATGCCAGAAAAATTGTCAACAATGATTCTTCCAGCTCCATTGCAATGGACATAATATTATACAAAAATTTACCAATAATAATATATAAAAATAAAAAATAAAAATAAAAAAATTATAGCGTTGAGCTACAGTGTTGCGCCATATGCTATTCACAACTCCCACTGGAGTAGAAGTCTAACTCAGCATTGGAGCAGATTTTCACACAACTCCAGCGCAAGAAGCCAAATCTGACGCTACTCTGGAGACGCTCTTAGATTTTATACTGTCATGCTTTTATTTATTTATTTTTTTATTATATTTTAGTTTGTAATGTATATTTAAAAAAACATCGCTGGTTTATTAGACTATTGTTTATGGATGCCTAACCATTAAATTTGCCTGCCTAATAACCTAACCGTTAGACTATCGTTTTATGAATGCCTAAACATAAATTGGCCTGCTTAATAACAAACAGCCTACTATTTGTGAAAATGTATGGGGGAAGGATAATAAGTTCAGAGAGTATGATAATTGATAAATGCCAATAAGGTTTCATTTTTGCCAGGGTATTGGAGTATGAATAGAGTAAAGATATGTGTGGAAAACTAGAATATGATGCTCAACCAATAAAGGGAAGGGTAAAAAAAAAAAGGGAAAAAACTTTGGCTCCAACATAACCAAATTGCAAATGAGATATCTGGTTCCAGGTTTGACTGAGACATATAACAAACTAATTCACATTTTTAATTTGCAACAAGACAAGGAAAAAAAAAAGGGTTCTTGTTCAAATAAGTCTTATCTAGCTTTTGGCAAAATCCAAAACCACAAACAATTTTTCATTCATATTGATGGTACTCAGCATTGGGAATGCACAACCAAAATGTGTAACAGACCTCATAGAGAGGGTACAGACAGAGAGCAATAATTCTTCTTTCACAATTTCAGCTCACACACTCCAATTGTGAAATGATGAATTATGCAGTTTGCATTGCCAATACATATCCAGAAGCAAAAAAGACTTGAAAAAAGGGTAAAATAACATCAGAAGTCCTGCCCGGAAAGGTAAAATAACACGTGGGACAACTGATGTATGATATCCGGATACTCGAAATCTTCATCCTTCAACTTTTTGATATAAATGCAGAAATACCATTCCACATGTTCATCAGGTATATCCCTTAAGACAGTAACAAAATATCCACAGTCGTAAAATACGAAAATGCGCGTTTCGGGCATAGCTAGCAGCAAATTAACAGCCCCAACTAGCTCCCGGTTGCCTCACAAAAGCTTCCAGGCTGCAAACCAAATGTAGTACAAATAGTTCAGCTTCATACAAATTAAATGTAAAACCTTGTGGAGAGTTTACAGAGGCTGGTGAAAGGTCAGCTCATTTTGTCCAAACAAAATAAAATAAATCAGAAGGCAGTAACTGCTCATCAAATACGCGATCTACGTCATTTCTTCATGTGTGCACGTCACTTAAAATTCTAACTAGCTCTAGAAACCACAAACATCCAAGCACAAATACTTCAACCAGCAAAAAAGAAAATGCCACTTAATATGGGGCTAATATAATTATCTCCCTAGAGATGAAAAATCAAAGATTGCTGCACCACCATTCATAAGATGAGGGAGTTAATATGGGGCTAACAGAGTAATTGCTTAAACGATTAATTATATTGTAACAAATTTGCTCAAATATTTTCCTCTGAAGCATTGTGTACGAGTTAAATCACAGCAAAAGAAAGGGAGGAAATAAAGAACACACAACCGAGACCAATGAACGACTCCACAATAGTTAGGGTCAACAAACAAAGACATAGCAAATGTCAACCACTGTAATCAACAGATAACACAAGAAGTCAGCAAAAGTTGATAACATAATGCCTAACCAATCAGCCAAATAAACTCACAGACAACGTTTTCAAATGCACCTTCACCTTCCTCTAACCATCTAAAACATCATCAGCTGAATGAAACTTCCAAACAAAATAAATCGCAATTCTCAAATTGAAGATAGAAGAATGGCAACAAGTTTCAAATTAAAGGTTGAATCTTAATTGGTCAACTTAAGTATCAAGAACAAAAAACCACTATCCCTTACAAAAATTATCACACAATCTACACGAATTAATTACCATCAACGAGCTACAGATTACAAAACAAAGGAGATAGATGAAATTGCAACTACAAAATCTAATCCTTGAGGAACAATAAAAAAACTCAATAAAAAACATTCAATCTTGAACCAAATTAAATACAGGGCAGAGCAAGGCAGGGTTCTTACAGGCAGCGGCTTTCTGGGGCGAAGGAGGAGCAGGATTACAGCACAAGATAGCTTTTCCAATCACGGTTAAGCTCGATACCACCCCAACAAAGTACAACACCATGACGAGCCCAAGGACCCAGGGCATCATAACAAACCCAATAAAGAAGGTCACCGATCCACACAGCATCAGGGTCAGGGACATCCCCAGCATCAAGGAGGCGAAACCCGCCGGCGTGATCTGCTGGAACGACGGCCCCGGCCTCCCGCGGCGGTGCGCCACCGACGAATCGTCGGAGAAATCGATCGGCGGAGGCGGGGACCGCATGATGTTCAGGACCAGGGCGGATAGGTCGTGCAGCATCTTGGATCCGTAGTCCTGATGCTCGTTCTGTGGCTGCTGCCTTCTCATGTTTCAAGGTTTTTAGACAAATTTACAGGAACCCGTTGTGCTAAATCCGCGGAGGAAGAAAGAAATCGACGCAATAAACGAGGTAAACGGATAAGAGCTGCTTGGTTATTACGAGGTCGGAAAAGATTCGAATGTTTATCAAAATTTATGGGAAGATTTTTGCAGCTGTATAGGGAGGCAGGCAAGCAAGTAAAAGGGAGAAGAAAAAGTGCAGATGAAAAATGGATTTCGAAAGGGAGATTTATCAATTTGTCAATTGGAAGAGCGAATAGCTTTTTTCCTAATGGAGACACTCAGTTTGTTTTCAAGTTTCTTTTTCTTGCTTGTTCTTTTATTTTCAGAAAATGCTAAAAAAGATTGTTTTTGGTTTGACAATGAAGGTGAGGGGGTATTATCCTCTGCTCCGCAGCTCATTGCAACTGCCAAACTGTAAATAAACGAGTTATTACGAAATAGTCGGTGTTCCTCGCACGTTCTGCAAATAATTTGAAGATTGAATTGAGTTAAAGGAAATTTCATCCAATAACAGTTATATGACAGAGTGGATAAGATTCAATAAATAATTGTCGCCTTTATATGAAATTTTTTTAATCAATCATGGATCACATAAATCATATTACAGATTTTAATGCATTGGATAAATGATATTACAAATTCGATGTAATATTACATGTTATAATTTTTAATGCACAATGACATCTTACATGATCAGTACAAATATTACCTATTAATGCAATATATTATAATAATTATTAATTACAAAATTTATAATTACAAATATAGTTACTTAATTAACACAAATATGACAAAAAAAAAATAAAAATTCACGGTATTAACTCTTAACGAGATGACCACACGAACATAGACACAAGTGAAATGTTTTTTACTGACATCTTAAATAGATTTCAATCTTCAATCTCTATCCAAATAAATAATACATACACTTAATTTTAAGTAGTAACAAGTGAGTATTGTTTCATTTTTTAGTTGGAGCCAGTAAACAAAATATATTGTATCCTAAATATGATTATCATAAACTACAATATATTAATAGATTATTAAATAGAATCATTCGGGAAATTATATTTTAACACTACTAAAGTCTAAGTCTAAGAAAAAGTTGATGTTTATTGTGCCGTATGATGTGGAACTTATCTAATAAATTGGACATGAGGACTGGTGAGGGTACAACACCTCAAAGCATCCAGATGGTGAGGGCTTTGGATATGGCTGCCACATTAGATTACTACTCTTTGTTCAAGGTAAGTTATGCGTGTAAGGCAAAAGGCACGTCTATCTTTTCTTGTAAAGAAAAAAAGAGGGTATGGATTAGACTGGGAACGGGTCAAGCTTGACACGTCTGACCGAAATGTGTATTCCACGCGGAGGTGGTGCTGAAGCAACAAAGCGGGCCCCTTATGGGCCCAGATGACGTGGGCTTTATCCTCTTTGGCCCATTATTACCCACAGACCACAAATTACGATAATTCTAATTTTTGTGTGGCTATTGGAATGCAACGTTACGCGTGTGCGGCTGAGTCTAAGTGTAGTTTTCAGTTTTATCTTTATCTTTGAAATTAAAAAGGGCTTAGAAAGTGAAAAAGAAGAAGTGGTGGGGTCAGAAACATAATTTCCTCCAAAATTGACTATTACGAAAATTATTGACAATGTTTAGGCCCTCCGTACACATTCTACGTGACTCTAAAATTGACTCGTGGCTAATAAATCGGGGAGATTTTACAGTCTCGTTACGGAATCATTTCGTCGAGATTGGTAATCGTTAGATCAACTATTCACGACGGTTACATGATTTAACGGTTATAAATCCCGACAGAATGATTCGGTAACGGAATTGTAGCATTTTCCAATAAATCTGCTTCCCATAGTAATAAAATTTATAACTGTACACAATTATTTTTATAAAATTTGGTATAATATACGAAAAATTCAAGTTAAATCTCTACTCTCTTTTTCATCTTCCTTGTCAGTCCCCAAGTTAATTCTCTTACTCCGCACTCCCTTGTCACTACATTATCTTTCCTATTCACTCCCCCTATAAATACTAATACTATTATTTTTCATTTATTTTGCTAAATGATCATAAAAAATGGAAAAAAAATGAAAAGCTCTCCTCTTTTCTCTCTCCCTCATTTTCTCTCTCCCCTCCAATCCTACCACAAATCTCACCGTCGCAAATTCTCAATTTCCAATCACCACCGCAGGATTGAACACCACCGGTGGCTCCCCCTTCAGCTCCTCCTCCTCTGTTGCCTCCCCCACCTTCGACAACCTCCTCCTCCAATACCTCATATTGCACCCCCACTTCCGGCCGCCCAACCAGCATCCCCTGCCGCCCTTCGCCGCCGCGAACTCGCTCGAGGACCTCCTCGTGTCCGACCTGCTCCTCAACCTCATCGATTTCGACTCCGATTCTGAAAACAACTTTTCCTTCTCCAAAACTCAGCTCGCCAGGGAGGAGTCCAAGCTCGAGAAGGAGATCGTCCGCACGATCCTCTCCGGCGAGGTCGAGAAGTCGAAGCCTAATTCCGGCCAGACGGTCTCGATCGGAGACCACCACGTCTGCGTGGGGTTTCAGGAAGAGGCCGGATCGGGTTACCGGAGCTGGGAGTGGCGCCGACACATCATGCTGTTCGATGAGGAGGATGGGTACACACGGGAGTATATATATACGGTAATTAGTTTTTATGCTCTCGGCCTTTCACCAAATTTTTATGCTCGGTGATTAGTTTGCTTGGTGATGTCTTTGTTCTTGTTAATGGAAGAATATTTAGTTTGTGGTGCTATTTATTATTATAAATTGTGCTAGATTTGATTTTGTTTGTGGTGTTGTGTAATAGAACTTATTGGAGTTTTGGGGTTTTTGGATTGGATGAATGAAAATGGATTAAAATACTTATTCTGGGTTTTGGTTTTTTGTTTATATAATTTGGATTTTCAGATTATGTTTTTCTTTGCATCTGCCATCTGGTGGTTCTTCTGAAACGAATGCCCTCTACTTTTTTTACAGGTTAATCAATTTCCTATTTTGAAGTTGAATTTGGTGAAAAATATTAAGAAGTATAATGCTATTTACAATCAAAGAGTTGAGCTTTTAGAATTTAGAGAGATGGTCTTGAAGATTTTTGAGCAATTTTGTTTTCAAAGCATGTAGTTTTGTATTCTTCATATCTAGTTTGTTATAACATCTTGCAATGAGCCAGGATAAAACGAGTATGCTTTCATATATAGTGCTTGTTGTAACTTGTTATTGGCATATTCGTTTGTGCGCCCGTTTAGTTTTAACTAGTGAGTTGTATTTTTTTTTTCTCTGTTTCTGTAGCATTTAAATGCTTTCTTTGCAATGTTCTTTATTCACATGTTAATTCATGAGATCGTTATTTCTCCATGCATCTAGTTTCAACTTTAAGCCACGGGTCTACATATAAAATCAAGAGTTGTTATCTGTATTGATACGTTATATAGTGAGAACTAGCTTGAGGATGAGGCTCTTCAATATGGTATGGGTGAAAAACAGATATATACTAAGTGGTTTCATAAAATGAAGGATTTTTAAAAGAGCCATTGATTCTAATTCATCTCCAAGTCCAGGCACGACAAATGATTAGCTTTTATCAATATCATGTGAGAGTATATTTCTCATATCATCTCTGAGTATCTCAAGAGAAACACACGAACACTGATTTTCAGCTTGGGGAATATAAAAGCAATTCTTGTTATGTATAAAATTCTAGACTCTCTTAAATTAACCATTCTTATACCTGAATTTGCTGTTACTTTATGTTTGTCACTGTGATTTGAAATATTTTGGTAAAATTGTTTAATTCTTTTTTTTTGTTCAGTTTGTGATTCAATTTTCCTTCAACTTAGCATCAAGATTTTGGTTATTTTCATGGCAGGTTCGAGGTAAGGGACACATCAAACAAACAGAAGGTCATTTTGTGAGATGAAATTCATGTTGTGCATTTTGTAAATAGATACTTGTTGTGAGATTTTGGTTATTTTGGTTATTTTAATGGCCCGTTGTGAGATTTTGGTTATTTTCATGACCCGTTGACTATCGTGGCTGAGATATTCGAGTTGACCTCTTCTTTGAGAGTTGTTGAGGTTATGAGGAAAGCAGGGGATATGTCGGAGTACGTGGATTTTTGCAATGGGGAATTGAGGTCCGGATTGTTGAGATTTTTGTTTGTTTTCTATTTGCAGGTTTTTGTTGTTGCAGGTCTTTGTTCTTTTCTTCATTAAGGTTTAGTTTGTTCAGGTTGGGTTATCGTGTAAATCCAGTGGATGGTACTTTGGCTAGTCTGTAAATGGTGTTGGTTTTGGTTGTTAATAATATTTAGCCGTTTTGAGAAAAAAAAAATGATAATTGTTATGTTTTTTTTACCATTTAACCATCTCGTTCTTTGCTAGCTAAGTGAATCTCGAATGTAACATCATTATCCGTTTCATAATATTATACAGCTCTTGCTATGTTGGCTTCTCTTATTGATTTTTCTTGGTTTGATTTTTCTAAGGATCTATAATGTATTGATGAGTTGTTGATTTGTATGAATCAAATGTGGCTTTGTAGAATAGTACCAGTTTTTTCATAAATAGTACCGCTTCTTCTTCTTCTACGCAGTACCAGTTATTAATGAATTAGTACCTACTTTATAGAAAGAACAAAAAATGGGTTACTTCAAATTTGGTCAATGTTTGCAAAATTGGTACCAAACTTAGAGTAAGATAGTACTGCAAATATGGTGTTCTAGTACCAGATATCGGGTCTTCAGTACCAACTCCGACGAACATAAAAAAAACACTAAATTTCGGTCTCAAATGATGTTTACATAACCAATAATCATTCTCACATTAGTTTCTATGAGATTTAGAGTATTTTTAATTGAGTTTAATCGTAAAATGGTCATGAACTCGACACACAAATGAGAAAACACTACTAATACACTTCATTTCATTGAATGACACACTTCATCTCATTGAATCATCATACATGACTACTCCAAATTCTACCTATATGTTTTAACTTACCTTTTTTTTCATCCAAATCAAGCTAGAACAATCCACGTGAAAAGGTAAACATGAAGGATTAAAAAAAATTCGATTCCTAAACTAGCACCAGTTTTTGCCATAATAGTACCACATATTGTTCTACGTAGTACTAGTTTTTGAGCGATTAGTACTGATATAGGATATCATATACTAGACCAGCCTTAATGGATAAAAAGGGGATATATTGAAGAATAAGCCTACACATGGCTAAGACACGTGGCATGATGCTATTGGACAAGCCCAACTTCGGCCATAAGGTACATTCCCCCTATAAAAGAGGACTAAGGTATGCCATTCTCTCACTCTCTCTACATTCACAATTATACTCTTGGGATTTGGAGTGATATTGACTTGAGCGTCGGAGGCCCGACGTCGGGACCCCTCCCGGCGTTGGGTTCTTGCAGGTCCGGCGGCCGTTCGACTTGGAGGAGCCCGGGTGAAATCTTATTCACTTCAAGTACCTACTTTTGTGAAGGAAAATTGATTATTTCAATTTTACTCAACATTTACCAAAAGTAGTACTGGACCTAGAGAAGGATAGTACCACTTTTGTATTGCAGTAATACATGATATTGGGTCTTTAGTACCACTTGTAATGAACACATAAAAACACCGAATTTCAGCCTCGAATGATGTTCACATGACCCGTAATCACTCTCACATTGGTTTATACGAGATTTAAAATGTTTTTAGTATAGTTTAATCCTAAAATGGTCATGAAATCGACAAACTAATGAGAAAACACTATGAATACAGTTCATTTCATTGAATGACACACTTCATCTCATAAAATCATCACACATGACTACTCCAAATTCTACATATTTGTTTTAATTTCAACCATTTTTCATCCAAATCAAGTTAGAAAAATCCACGTGAAAAGCTAGACATGAAGGATTTACGAAATACGATTCCTAAACTAGCACCAGTTTTTGCTATAATAGTACCCCATATTGTTCTACGTAGTACCAGTTTTTGAGCGATTAGTACCTACTTTTTTATGGAAAATTGATTATTTCACTTTTACTCAACATTTACAAAAAGTAGTACTGGACCTAGAGAAGGACAACACCACTTTTGTATTGCAGTAGTACCTGATTTTGGGTATTTTGCACCACTTGTAATGAACACATAAAAACACCAAATTTCGGCCTCGAATGATGTTTACATGACCCACAATCACTATCACATTGGTTTATATGAGATTTAAAATGTTTTAGTTGAGTTTAATCGTAGAGTGGTCATGAAGTCGACACACTAATGAGAAAACACTACTACTACACTTCATTTCATTCAATGTTACACTTCATCTCATAGAATCATCAAACATGACTACTTCAAATTCTACTTATTTAATTTTAACTTCAACTAGTTTTCATCCAAATCAAGCTAAAACGATCCACGTAAAAAGGTAGACATGAAGGATTAAAAAAAATATGATTCCTAAACTAGTACCAGTTTTTGCCATGATAGTACCACATATTGTTCTACGTAGTACCAGCTTTTGAGCGATTCATACCTACTTTTGTGAAGAAAAATTGATTATTTCAATTTTACTCAACATTTACAAAAATTAGCACCGGACCTAGAGAAGGATAGTACCACTTTTGTATTGCAGTAGTACCTGATATTAGGTCTTTAGTACCACTTGTAATGAACACATAAAAACACCGAATTTCAGCTTCAAATGATGTTTACATGACCCATAATCACTCTCATATTGGATTATATGAGATTTAAAATGTTTTTAATTGAGTTTAATCGTAGAATAATCATGAACTCGACACACTAATGAGAAAATCATCCTTAATATATATCACAACCACAATATTCCATATATAATGCAATTAAAATCATTTAGGTGCAACATTCCATATATGAAATTAAAAAAAAAAAATATTTGAAATGTTTTTAATTGAGTTTAATCGTAAAATGGTCGTGAACTTGACACACTAATGAGAAAACACTACTAAAACACTTCATTTAATTGAATGCACCCTTCATCATTTAATTCATATAATAATTGTTATAAATATGTATTCTTTTATTTTTACATCAATATAACTTTTTTTTTATTTTATTTTTTGTATATTTATCTCAAAATAATCGTATTTTAACAATATTCGATTGAAATCCATATTGAATATATAAAATAGAAATAATTACCTCTATCGTTATAAATAAAACTATATTTGTTAAAAACTAATTTCGAAAATATGAATACAACATAAATTATTTTATAACAAATATAATAAAAATACAGTTCAGTAATATTATACTTATTATTCACATATATTCTTAAATATATGATAAAAAGTTTACAAAAATATTTATTTAATGGAACCACATTGTATTCAAATTGAATTTTTCAATAAAAAGTTTTCAAATGATACTTATTTTGAAAAATAATAATGTAACTTATTATCAGTTATGTACACCGTACGAGTTGTGTACGAATTTTAAATAGACATATTCTATATAATTTTGCACAATTTAAATGGTTGTTTAGTACCCAATATCGCGTCTTCAGTACCAATTCGAACGAACATAAAAGTATATTGAATTTTGGTCTTAAATGATGTTTATATTACTCAAAATCACTTATACATTATTTTCTATGAGTATTTGAATATGTTTGATTAAGTTTACTTGAAAAGTGGTCATGAACTAAATAGAGCTTTAGTTTTGAAATTTAGAAATATTTTGATTTTATTTTTAGGTAATTTTCATTTTATGGAAACAAATTTGTCTTTTATTTTCAATATAAATAAAAATCATCCCTTAATATATCCACAACCGCGACATTCCATATTTATTGCAATTAAAATCACTTAGGCGACACATTCCATATATGAAACTGATAAACATGATATATCACGCATTAAATTGGTTGATATCCTATCATAATATTTATTTGTTTTCTTTTAAAAAAATAAATGATTGAACACTCTACAGGTATGGACTAAATTGCTCTTCCGGATGGCAAAGACCTGATCACCTTTGTATTTTGAGGCATATATCCTTTATTGACAACCCTCATCAGTACAACAAACAATGATCTTCTGTTGATCATTTTTTCGGTACTTGAAAGAACGCCTTTCGCAATTGCGTAGTTTTTAACAACCTTCCAAAATTCAACCGCGCCGCCACTGAACATTTGCCCCTCTCCTTTGATGGAGAATCTCCAAGAATCGATCGATTTATCTTGCCACTGACCACTTTATTTGTTTTAGGGTAAATATAAACAACAATATTCAAAATTCAATCCTTCACAAATCGAACAAAAATATATGAATTAAAGATGATTTTGAAACTCCAAACTTCTCATATAATACATACATTACTTACTACTTCAAGTTTTCGCCGGAAAAAGTCACAATCTTGCTGGAAAAAATATGAATTTTCGGACATAGAGATAGGAATTTTTGTGCCCCTTCCATGTATCTAACAATAATTGGATTAAAAAAAAAAAGCAAGTTCACATTTCCCAGCACAGATGGTACCAACAGTGAGCAAAGTGGTACTATATATCCAAACAGAGGTACATAAAATAATGAATACTGGTACTATGATTATTCTCATCTTATATTTTTGTTTTATGGTCAATAACACCTAACATAACCTAACAATAGCATAAATTTAGTATACATGAACAAAAAAAAAGGATTGTGATCACTTTATTTGTTTTAGGGTAAATATAAACAACAATATTCAAAATTCAATCCTTCACAAATCAAACAAAAATATATGAATTAAAGATGATTTTGAGACTCCAAACTTCTCATATAATACATACATTATTTAGTACTTCAAGTTTTTGTCGAAAAAAGTCACAATCTTGCCGGAAAAATATGAATTTTCGGACATAGAGATAGGAATTTTTGTGCCCCTTCCATGTATCGAACAATAATTGGATTAGAAAAAAAAGATGTTCACATTTCCCAGCACAGATGGTACCAACAGTGAGCAAAGTGGTACTATATATCCAAACTGAGGTATACACAATCATGAATACTGATATTATGATTATTCTCATCTTATTTTTTTGTTTTATGGTCAATAACACCTAACATTACCTAACAATAGCATAAATTTAGTATACATTAACAAAAAAAAAGGATTATGATCACTTTTTTGTTTTAGGGTAAATATAAACAACAATATTCAAAATTCAATCCTTCACAAATTAAACAATAATATATGAATTAAAGATGATTTTTGAGACTCCAAACTTCTCATATAATACATACATTACTTATTACTTCAAGTTTTCGCCGAAAAAAGCCACAATGTTGCCTGAAAAAAAAGAAATTTTCGGACAGAGAAGTACAACTTTTGGCCGGAGAAACAGGGATTTTCGGCCGGAAAAAGCCCTAAGGTCGTCAGATTTTTTGCCTCCGATAAAAGGCCCAGGATCCGGTTTGTAATCGCCAGCGAGATGAAGCTGCAAAAAAAAA